TTTTCTTAGTTTTTGCAGTAATATTATTCAATAGTGTGTATTGTGATATATTTATATAATAAAATGTGTGAATCATCGCTGTACTCAAAATTATGGTGTGCATATTATTGATTCAATTATGTTCATAAAACAATAAACTAATACCTTTTCCATTATTACACTATATACATAGGTTATATATAAGTATCTGCATGTTTTGTTCACCATAACAAACCATTACGTTGATATTGTGAGTCAAAAAACAACAAGGAGTGGCCATCCAGCCTCTCACTACCACTTCCTCCCTTAAAAACTCCTTACTTGTCAGCATCCTCCTCCCACCATATTGTTTTTGCTTTTATTCACTACATACAGACGTTATACTGTAGAGACGCGATTATCCGGAATTTGAATCTCCAGAAAACTCCTTTATACGGCCAAAATTGTGACCAGATAAAGTTATCATAATATCTGGCCAAAATGTCCATGGGAGCCGGAAAAGCGAGTGTTTGGACGGATAAAAAATCTGGGCCGGTTAACTTGCTGACGATGTTACACTCACCAGTCAGTCAGCTGGACAAGCAGTGAATTGTCTGGATACAAAAGCCAGGCGGTGGGCCGTGCCATATTAATCCCGAACGGCTGTGGCTCGAGGCGCATGGTATAGGAGAGGGTGGGGAAGGTGGGTGGTGTTGGGAGAGGGGGGAGCATTGGGAGGGACGACCTGGGGGATAGCGTGGGGGGATAAGGGGGATGTGGAGGGGCCTAAATACTACAGTACAGGAATTACCATTAAGTTTAGAACAATTCGTCATATCCAAAAACAAAAGAAATACTAGTAATTATGTAATAACAAATATACAAGTTTCCTTAAAACAATTTGCACAGGTTGAAGTTGCCTTCAAAAATATTGAGTTTTCCTCCTGGCGGCCTATGTAACGTGCCTCCTCCCTGCCCCAAGTGGACCCGTCCAGGCCTGGTCAAGCCATGTGCTCCCATCCCTTGTGTTATACCACAGTGCCGTGCCATTAGGGAAATATTTTTTAAATAACTTTTTTATTTTCATAGTAACTTTGAACATTTTTGGCCAAGACTATGTCTGGTAGCAGCATCAATCGTTCTGGAGGTGTTATGAGAAAGGTGGTTGTCCTAACAATTAAAGACAAGTTATGTGTTATACAATTTTGTGAAAATAGCAGGTCGACTTCAAGTGTTGCCAAGGAATTTAATATAGGCACTAGTACTGTTTCTGATATAAGGAAACAAAAAGAGAAATATCTGAAATACATTTCAACCAGTGAGAGTGAAGATGCAAGCACTAGCAGAGGGTGTGGTAGAAAAACTTTGAAAACTTTGACGCATGTACAGTTGGATGAGGCTGTGTACAAGTGGTTTGCTCAGCACCGCACAGCTGGCATGACAATTCGCGGCCCAGAAATACAAAATGCTGCAAGCAGGTTTGCAGAAAGCCTTGGAATAAAGGATTATACACCAAAAAGATGCTCAACGAAGTTTTGGCGATTTTTCCTCTTTCGGAAGATGTGGAACTCGGTGTGGATAACAGGGCTAAAAAAAACATTGAGAATTGAAGAACTATACAATCAAGGAAGCCATCTATAACTGGGCCAAGGTGTGGAGTAAAGTAAAGGAATCGACTTTGAAGAATTCCTGGAAAAAAGGCCTCACGTCTACAGTTAGCAATGAGGAGGATGAAGAAATTAATTTTGAAGGATTTACAGATGAAATCCATGGAATGTTCAGAAATGCTAGTGAAAACTTAGAACAATAGGATGTGGTTGATTGGCTTTAAAGAGATGCCAATGACCCAGGATATGGTGTAATGAGTGAAGACGAGATTCTCCATTCTGTTACTGGTAAGGTCGACAAAGAGGAGGATGAAGAAGGCAGTGAAGAACCAACACCACAGACAACAAAATACAGTTTACTCATGTCTTTTGTTGACCTGTTAATTAATTTTTCATCCAATTGTGTTCATCCAGATGTTGGAAACATGTATCAGTACCTGAGACGAACCAAAGAGCTGATCATACAACAGGCCAATGAACACAGAAGGCAAGCTAAACTGGATTCTTATATGGTAAGAAAATCAAGCCAAATGCCTTCAACCAGTGAGGCGTCACAGGCAAGCCAAGCGCCTTCAACCAGTGAGGCGTCACAGGCAAGCCAAATGCCTTCAACCAGTGAGGCATCACAGGCAACCCAAGTGCCTTCAACCAGTGAGGCATCACAGGCAATCAACCAGTGAGGCATCACAGGCAACCCAAGTGCCTTCAACCAGTGAGGCGTCACAGGCAAGCCAAATGCTTTCAACCAGTGAGGCATCACAGGCAACCCAAGTGCCTTCAACCAGTGAGGCATCACAGGCAACCCAAGTGCCTTCAACCAGTAAGGCTTCAACAGCTGGCAGTCAAAACTAACTTTGCTTAATGAACTGTACAGTAATTTTAGTGTTGTGTAGTATAGGTTACGTAAATTGTCAAGAATTCTTAACTTCAAGATGTGTGGCATCAATCAAGAAGACGAACAACAACAAGGTAAGTGGAGGTTTCTGGTTGAATATTTAATAATTATATATATGGCAAGGGAATTCAAATTATGTTGTTTGTAGTATAAAAATAGTTGAAAATGGTCACTTTTGGACTCAAGAGGTGAAAAAGTACTCTTATCTGGAAAACGTGATTATCCGGCTGGAGGTCCTTCCCTTATAGTCAGGATAATCGAGTGGAGACAGTATATAATTATCTACATGTTTTGTTCATCTAAGCTGGTATAGTGCACAAAGCATAGTGGCCACCCTTACAGCATGACAAGTCAGGATGATGATGCCACCTCCCTCACCATAATGGCTTCTCCCAACACTTCTTATGCTGTTATTACACTATATATGCAAGTTATATATAAGTATCTACATTTGTGTTCTCCATAGCAAACCGCTAATCTTGTATGGTGATGGCAGACAGTAACAGGTGGCCACACACAACTGATGTTCCCTCCCTCCTCCCTCCCTCAATGGTTCAAGGCCAGATGCACTAACATTCCTCCTTCAAGTATACTGTTTGTGGTGTTATTTCACTATATACACATACTATATATAAGTATCTACATGCTTTGTTCACCATAACTGTTCAGCTAAGCTGGTATAGTGCCCAAAGAGCATAGTGGCCACCCTTACACTGCATGACAAGTCATGCAGATGTTGCCACCTCCCTCATCAAAATGGCTTCTCCCAATACTCCTTTTGATATTATTACACTATATATATACACATTTTATATCTAAGTACTGTATCTACATTTGTTCACCATAACGATCCACTAAGTTGGTATGCTGAGTTGGCAGCAAAGAGTGGCCTCCACACACCAGGCAGCCAGCCACTGGCCGCTGCTCCCTCCCTCACCTCACCTGACTCGCCAACATTCTTTTCCCACCATACTGTTTTTGCTTCTATTCACTATATTCAAACGTTATATATAAGTATCTGCATGTTTTGTTCACCATAGCGAACCACTAAGCTGGTATAGTAAGTGCAGACAGCAACAGGTGGCCACACAGATTCGGCAGACGACGCTACAGCCCTCCCACCCTCAACATTACTCCACCCACAGCACAGCACAAATTATCACAACAATCCTGCTATTATCAGAATCCTGATCATTTATATCACAGTCAGGGGTCTTCTGCAATACTATCATTGCTAAATAATACCAGCTACATATATTTTTGGCATTTTTAGGCGATGCTGTGGTCACAAGCTGAACAGCATTGCTGTGAGCTCATGCTGCATGCACCAGCCTTGGTGGCTCACTCAGTTCTGAGGCTCTCTCACCCGGGAATGTCGCCCTCGATTTTTTTTTAAATGGCGTTTGTTTACAAGAGCCCTGAGGAAGGTGATGTGAACCCCGTGTATCCGCGGGCCGTTTAAATCTTGCGTAGTATTCCAAAATTGCATATGGAGTGTTGTGCACTTTTGTGTCAGTTACTCAAAACTGCTGCGCAGTTTAAGGGTTAAACCTGTTTAGACTTGTTGCAGTCTATCCTTGTGCCCACGACGTTCGTAAGTTTGCTGCTTTGTCCTGCTGTTTTCGGCATTATACCCTGGGCCGACATTCAGGCACGGGGATTTTGGAGGTCAAACAGGGTCCTGGCCTCTCGTTATCTTGTCAACATTCCTGGTCCTAGTCGTCCACGAGTGGCTTTTTGTCCCAGGTTGCAGCCAGTTGACTCGACTTTGAGTTGAGGAGCGAGTGGCATCCATGCTCCACCTCCTGGGTACGTCACTTATTCCTTCTCTTTGTTGTAGCTCCAGGGAGCAGGTGGTGAGGTGTGACATTTGCTTGTTTCCTTAAGTTGTAGGGTGAGTTCTGCTCCCTGTTCGGTTTTCGGTCTCATTTTCTTAAGTGAGGTTTGTTTTGTTATGTCTACCTTTCTAGGTGCCAACCCCGGTCGATGGCAGACATGGAAGGCCCCAACCACATGGGAGGGTTTCTATTGGTCATTGCTCTCTTTGCCTCTCTGAGTGGGGGCCAGGTTCTGTCTCGTGGTTCCCGGTAGGCTGAACTCCATTGACTAAAGCCCTGGTCTAATGTATCGCATATTAGCCCGATAACTCCAGGGAGCCTGCAGGACTCGCCTAGAAAATGGCATTTCATTACATTCAATGCTGGCTTTTTGGAAGAATGTGTTAGTGCTAACTGTGTTGGATTGAATGGGAAAGACATTTGGAATTCCATCAATGCAGTGGCTAGTTCTGTACATGTGCAGTGCATTGTCACAGCATGAGGATGCTCCCCTCTAAAAGAATATAAACAACAATTCAATGAAGCTAAATCTACTGTGACACACTGACATTGCACTACTCGTGTGCAAAACTAGCCACTGCACTGGCAGGAATTCCAAATATCTTAATCCTCCTCAAGGCTCCCACTGATTTTCTCATGTTAATTATTAGTTTCTGCAATGCAGAATATAGCTAGACAAGATATTATCTTCCTCCAAAACAGGTTAGTGAAATGGAAAGCAACCTGCCAGAGGGGTGTGTCGCAAAATTTGATGACCCAGATACCCTACACTCATTTCGTCTAATTGTGACCCCACCCGAGGGTTATTGGTCGGGCGGTATTTTTTCGTTTAGTGTCAATGTACCAGAGGAATACAACATAGCGGTAAGTTTTTGTTGGAATCACTGTCCTGCTGAAATGTTTGTGCTGTGTGCATGTCTGCATGAGTGTTGGATGGGAAATCAATACCTTTATTAATGGGGTAATCAAAAGCTGAAAATAACACACTTGAAGTTTAAAAAAAAAATTATGTACAGTATATTGATACCATAAGGAAAGGTAGAATAAAATGTTAAATATTGCAAATTCCTTTAATTGGGAACAAATCAGAACTTAAAAAACAGTTGTGAAAAGTGTCATCAATTTTAGGAAGGCTAATATAATAGTGATAGTCATTCTAGCATCCTTTTGACATACACACCAGCAATAGCAAAATGATTAGCAATTAAGTTTTGATATTTTTTTTTATTTAAAAAAAAAAGAGTTGAATGTAATGAAATGCCAGTTTCTGGACGAGTCCCGGGGGCTCCCTGAAGCTGTCCATACTGATATAATGCTATATTAGTTGGGGTCATCAGTTTCAGAGCCAAATCTGGCCCCCCTCAGAGAGGCACAGAGAGCAATGGCCTATGAGCACTTTACATTTAACCCCTTAACTGCGTTGCCTCCAAATATGACACCCCCCGCAGTGCGCAGGAAATAAATTCTCTAAAAAATTTTTTTTTTTTTTTTTTTTTAAGTGTCAAAAACCCTTCGCTCAGTATGGGTATGTAAAAAAAAAATTGAAATTGTACTTACTTTGGCTGCTATTGGGTCCGTACGTTGGCGCGTGACATCATCATTCCCCATTCGCCCATGACGTACGCTGGCCGGTAGGGCGCCCGGGGCGGGGTGTGCCAGTTGCCGTGAATATATTTTTGTTCATTTTTTGCGCACAGTTCCAAATACATTTTATTTGTTTTTACATGCTAATCCTATGTATAGTGAACACGTACACTATATTTTGGCAGTGAAACATCCGTAATGTCCGAAGACACTGTGTTACGTGCATGACATTTGTGTACACATATGCTGCACATATTTACTATGTATCATGCTAATTTATGTATATATGCAATCTATTTACACACTATACACTGTCACACACTATATACATTCACCATCAACACACTCAGAACACCTCGAGTGTTCCCTCCCTCCCTCACCAAAATTCCTCCTTCCACAATACTACGCACAACGCTAATTATAACCACAATTCTGCTCTTATCACAATCCTGGTCACTAATTCCTGTAAATGAATAATTGACCACACGTTTATTTTGAAAAGGAACCTTAGAAATCATTTGAAGATTCCTAGATGGACGAAATAATGCTGTGGTGCTGTGGCTAGCGCTGTGAACAACATGAACAGCATTGAATCACCGATATTTGAACATTGTACCCAGTCATTATCACACTCAGGCTCTTCTATAACACTATCATGGCTAAATAATACAAGTTATATATATATTTTGACATTATTAGGCGATGATGTGGTCACACGCTGAACAGCAGTGCTGTGTGCTTATGCTACGAGCGCCAGCCTTGGTTGCTCACACACTACTGAGACTCTCACACCCGGGAATGTGGTCCACTATTTTTTTTAAAGATGGCGTCTGTTTACAAGAGCCCTGAGGAAGCTGATGTGAACCCCATGTAGCCGCGGAAGTTTTGAATGGAACGTGAAAAATACAAATACAGTACTGTACCCGGAGGCGCGTTGCGCAGTTTAAGGGTTAAAGTATGTCAAATTTTGTCATCTACCAGGAAAGGCAGCCAGAAAGGTAGGCAAATCAAAACAGACCACTGGTTGAAAATTGTGAGCTACAGCCTCAAAATAGCAAAAGAACTCCCCTAAAAAGAAAACAAACAAGAAACACGTCATCAAACTAGCCCCTCTCTCTCATTAGTGCTAACCTCCTGCAGGAAAGGGGGAGCCGGCAACCCACCAATTTAGTTTTGGAATAATGAAAGCCACTGATCTGAGGGAGGGAGGGAGGGTGTCAGGGAGCCTCCGGGGCTCACCCAGAAACTGGCCCCGTTGACTCCCTGAAGCTAACTACTCACAGAGAAGACAAACGGACTTACCAGAATGGCAACAGCACTGCCAGTTTCAAAGCGAGGAAGAGAGAGACAGCTGCGATAGATGCCCCAAGGCCACACATGGCCCCCAGAGGACCAGGGATGTTCACAAGATACCTGGCAGCTAGGACCCTATTCAACTTCCAAAACCCCCAAGCCCAAATATCGTCCCAAGACATACAGTATTACCAAAGGCAGCTGAAAGAGTGGCATACTTCCTAACATTCATGGTCACAATGGTAGACTCCAGGCTGGCTGGACTTAATGACACTGCAGATAACCTGAGAAACAAAAGCCCTTGAACAGGGAACCAGGGTAAACCAGGGGAAACCTGGGAAACCAGGGAAACCCGATCAACCCAGAGGGCATGGTCAAACGAGAGGAGATGGTAGTTCGCGGGGGAGGGGACGGACGTGTCGTCGTCACGCTCCATTAAAACACTGGAATAAACCGGGCTTTTTTAGGATTACAACCATGGATTACGGCCCACAGTGATTACCAAGTGCATAGTGACCCGTAGGAAAGTTGAATACAGAAATTAACAATGGAACTTTGAGTTAAATACAGAATAAACGTGGAACCACGTGGTGAGCCAATGCCACCAGGCTCATGTGTACAGGCATAAGCGATATAAATCAAATATAGCGAGCAGCGATACGTTGAACAGTGAAGTGGAACGTGTAACACAACACATAAATTAGTGGATAGTGTTAGAGAATTGTACATAGAAAAAGTATAAATGTAAAATTGTGGAGGAGGCATCACACTAGGCTGTTTACACCACAGCCACGAGGCCTACACAGTGTAGGGGACGTCCCGCAGTAACAGTATACTCCCTCAGTGATAATATACTGGCAATATATATGGTAATACGGGAAAGTGGATCTAGGAACTAGTAATAGAGTAAGTGAATAACATTGCAAGCCGGAAGAAAGCAGAAATTCCCTTAGAATATTACAGGCAAATAATCAGTGTATAAATCAAGTAACTGGCAACCGGTGGCATCCTGCCCCCGACCTGGGACAAACAACGGTCAACTAGACGGTCCCAAGAGGACCATATTTTCTCCACAGGGTGATAAGTACCCCCACATAAACTTGAATAAATAAACATATGTAATATTATAAATATACTGTATACATATTATATATACATACATATAATATTATAAATATATGCATATAATATTATAACATCACAAACCGAACATGGAGGTGTGTGGAGGCTGCCTTAAGTTACTTTGGAAGAGTGTTGTAGGCATTGTACGTAACATTTGTAACATAAGATTTCACCTGAGTTGTACAGGATTACCTACACAATATGCAAACCGGGAAGGTAACTACTGGATCTGTCACAGTGACAGACAGATGTGGGAAAACATTACCAAACTAATGAATAACATTCCTGAAGTACACAGGCTACAATTCACACAAAAACTACCAGAAATATATGCAGAGTATATAAAGACAGCAACGAACTCTGAGCACAACCCAGGGACTGAGAATTTAGAGAGTCAAAGTAGCAGTGTAGAAGGACATAGTGTCGAGGTACACAAAAATGAAGTCAATATTATAGAGCAAACTGGTGATATGAATAAGGAGATAAAAAATGAGACGAATGAGAACACAAATGAGAAAGACAAAAGCAACAAGGAGAAAGATAAGGGCAATACAGAGAATGAATGCAGAAACGAGAAAGTTGGAACAAAAAACAGAGGTAGCCAAGTCGTGCACGGGTACAAACAAGAATAATACAATCACAGATGAAAATATTTGCAGGTATTATGCAAAAGGACAGTGCAGATATGGGCCCAGAGGCACGGAATGCTCATTCATGCACCCACGGAAATGCCGAAACTGGTTAGGGAAAGGCAGATGTCATTTTGATACAGAGTGTAGATATTTTCACCCTAAGCTATGCAAACTCTCAGTTTGAGTCGGTTTTTGGTGTCGGCCCCTCCCCGGGTTCGGTTCCATGTCCCTTCTGGTCAGTTGGTTCCCCCCTCCCTGTGGCTCGTTTTTGCCTACTTTATCCTTCACTCCTACTTCAACTTTATCCTATTTAGCCATTGGGCCATATGCGCCTCTATGGCTTTGCGCATGATTCTCAAGGGTCTGGAAGGTTCGAGACGGAATTCCTTCCTTAAAAATATAAAAAAAATCAGAACGTCTGTCGCTTCTGGAGGGGATTGACTCCCATATTTTATAAGAATCGTTGGTACTCTTCGGTACTAATATTCTTTCCGTACAATATCTAATTCCCTTATGATCACGTATTCTCAATAAATGGACATTATGGGCTCCCCTCCCTAAATGCGAGGAGGGACCACGCAGCTTGGACCTCCTGTGTCCTGAAAATGGCCCGGGGGTGTTCATTTTGTTTATGGACAGTGTCAACGAGTGTTGGTGTTAGGTGACCTTTATCACGGGATAAACGCCACACTACCTACTCTTATATCTCCAGTTATGGGCTCCCTGGATACTGGGCGAGTTCTGGACTGTATTTATAAGGTATGTTCCTTGTTCTTTTACCTACATTAGGGTGTGGTGTGGTTCGTTCTGGCGCCGCCTCCACCTCCACTCCATTTATTCTCCTGCAATCGCACCTACGGTCGTATTTATTAAGCCGTGCTGCCGGCATCTTACCCGGCAACGCTGTGTCTAACCTTGTACTGCCTTCGCTCTGCAAGTGCTTATGCAGTCTGCCTACACCTTCAGTCAAGCTCTGGTTCTCGTCTTTTGGACGAGTGTTAGGTTTTGTTTGTGGTTTGCTGATTGGCCACTTTGTGTATTCACCTAGTTGTGCTTGCGGGGGTTGTGCTATGGCTCTTTGGTCCTGCCTCTCAACCGTAGATTATCTGATGTACAGATTCCTAAGCCTACTGGGTTCTATCATGTCTGCAATTGAGGGGTGAGTGTTGAATCAGCCTCCACCACATCACTGCCTCATGTATTCCACCTGTTAACTACTCTGACATTGTTTTT